CAATTGACTTGTCAAGGTCTTTATTCAGCCATAAAGTTATGCCATATTAATTTGCTCCCACCTTATGGGTAGCCTAACCTATCTTGACGATCATTCATACCATTTTGGAGATCACTCGTCCCATCTTGGAGATCACTTGCCTCACTTTCAGAGATTACATGCTTGCATCCCTCTGAGGCCATATATTTCTTTGAATATTCATCAATCGCATCGTCTACGTCACCTATCTAATTAGTGACTCCTTCCATCAACTCATCAAAGTAACTAACCCCATATATTTTTGAGCTTTGGCCATCAAGTCCATATCTTTTAGCAATCTAGTACTCTTTTATTTCTTTTTTTAAATAAGAGGTAGTTTTTATTATAGCTCTTAGAATTCTTCAAATATTATGTGAAAGTGTGAATTTTTCAAATAGAATTCCTAAGCTTCTCTTCATCTAAACTCTCCTTTTGTCTTTTTTTTTTCCTTGAAACACTCTTTATTTTAGTTGCATCATATATTGTAAGAATTGATAACAAGGAATGTGCATCCTCAGAAGCAATTTAAATCTAATGTTTTGATTGTGTGAAGAGGATGGACTAATGCTAAGGATAAAAATGAAGCATTAGAAGAAAAAGCACAACAAAATTGAGGATATATAAATATGAAGAAGTAGAACTATGCTAATAATAAAAAAAATTTGTGGAAATGGATAATAAGGATGATCTGAGATGTTTTAGAGCGGGCTCATAAGATATTCATAAATGTGGAGATATTTGAATGATTTTTAAATTCAATAATTCAAGGGTGGAGTTTAAGCACCAAGGCGTTGAATTCATACTTATCACTAGATGTTTACTATGCAGACACTTAACAAAGAATCCACACATCCTTCTCATAATGTGTGTTATTTTTCATTATTCACATATTTAAGAAGTGAGAATATAAATTAACCAATGCTTGTTCAAGATACATTTTAGAAGCAAAATCTCCTACCAAATTCAGGATCCTCTATCTCAAGGCTTTTAAGAGAACATTGAGCCTTCCAACTATGTAGGTTATTTTTCATTATTCACATATTTAGTTGATATCGACAATTTACCGTATGTTTTTTTATTTAATGATTTCTTGAGTCTTCCACTAGATGCCATAACCTCATTCACTGAATTCAAGATAACTTTAATTACACAATTTGCTTGAACTTAAAATCTCCTAAAAATTTTGCATGTTTTGTTAGCATTCAGGCAAGAGCCCAAAAGGTAGTTGGGAAGATTTATCATTTAAGTTTAGCAAGAGATGCTAAACATAAAAGAACCAAAGCCTCTCATATTCTGGGTGTGCTAACACAATAACTAAAAGAAGATTTTTTTAGGCATGCACTTAGCCTAAAGTAACCATGTATGCTAATAAAAATGCTAAAACTTGTCAAAAATGAATAAATATAAAGGAGAATAATTATAAGGAAAAATAAAAAAATATTAAAACCTTTGACATGAAAGCTCATGGAGGCATCAACAGACGTAAAGATATAATAACTGTAACTTCAATGTAGTCAAAATCAGAACCTTATCCTGACATTTGCTACGATTGACTACCAAAGAATCAACTTGAATGACAAATTGAATGAAGTAACTCACTCACACATCATTTGTAAGAAAAAAACACACCAACACCCCTGTAATGGCTAGAACTTCACTCACACTTCCTTAAGAGTCTCCAACGTTGAGTTGGTGAGCGTAACCAAATAAAGGAATACTTTTGATGACAATATTTGCTTTTTCATTAGTTGTATGTTAGAGATCAAAAAATATATTATATATTTTTGAAGAACTTCAACCATGATGCATGCAAAGCTTTGTTGCCCTGTGTGAAAAGGTAAAGAAGTTTATTAAAGCAGAGAAATAAGAGGTGCTTGTAATTACCCAAAATAAAATACCAACAAATAAAAAAAAATCGTCCTAATGGATTCATCTAAATAGTAGGGAGTATATTATAAGTACATAACATTTTCAAGAATTTTTTTTGTAGAGTTTCTCATATAATAGCATATACTAAGACTTTTCCTTCATCTATCAATTTTACAAAAAAAAAAGCTTCGGTGCTCATTGTTTTCTTGGTTAGTTTTTAAGACTCGGAGTAAAAGTTTGTATATTTATATATCGTCGTATAATTATTTTATTCAAATAAATCTCCCTCCCGAATCATATCAATAATCAAAAAAGAAGAGAAATCGAAAAGCAGGATATACAGTAACAACTAGACAAACAAATAAAAAGAAACTAGCGGAAGACTTATATATGGGTAATCATCAGTGATGGGTCGAGAATATGCGTCTGAACAGGATCTGATCGAAGTATCTTGAAACCCAACATCCATGAAGAGAATCCTTACATAAGCCAACCATAATCAGAGATCGAAAAGTGCATTTTTATTCTAGGTTCAAGAGTCTCTCAGAGGAACATATCCTTCTAGTTAATTACCTCCTAGGGGATACAAAGGAATAATCTCGATAAAATGCATTTCACTAAGCCATCAAAGGATGATTATTTCTTATAGGAACGCCATGATGCTTTAAAGCTCTCACTAAGCCACAAGGCAGAGAGTGAGTCTCTCACATCCCAAATAGGCAGTGGCTTGTCGACATATAGAGCCTACGAAATAACCTTAATCATCTTGACTGGGATATCTCAATATGTCAGAGCTCACCGAGTCATAAGGGCAAGGGTGAATCACTGTATCTCAAATGTGATGCAGCTCATTGGTAATTGGGTCGTCAAGATGGTATCAACAAAGTCAAAGAAGCAAAATAGATCAAAGGGGCATAGCAAGAGGAAGGGTAATGTAATTTTAAAAGGTAGAGGTAGTTGGGTCTGGATACCACAGATCTGTCATCCCAAGGTACGAGGACCCCAAGTCTACCTTGTCGTGAAGGTCGTCAACCTAACACGTCTATAGATCCCGATCAGTAATCTGTGAATTATGTCGTCCACAAGAACCTCAATAGCCCTAAGGTCAAATGAACAAAACTATATCATATGACTACATGTGGGGCCCCAAGAGGTGGGTCTTATTCTTGTCGAAGTTGCGTCAATGCCATTGGAAAGAAAGGAAAGAAAATGTTCAACTACAAAGATGAAAACACTCTACACGAAAGGACTTACAACCATCTGGTTCGGGAGCCTTCTAACACCCTAAACGCACTAGACAACCATCTAAGTAGACATCTATGCTTGGTCGGTCGGGTTGAAGAAGCTCGGGGGCTTCTCCTTGGAACATGTAAATATGATGCAGTTATCTATCACAATTTTAAGCATGGACGACCTATTAAATATGACGGGGGTGATAGTCAAGCATCTAACTTATTTAAAATCTAGCATGAAGATCATGCATGAAAGTAAAAGTGCGGATTTTAAAGTCCTGAATATTTTGTTAGGATTTTGTAGCAAATTTCAAATTTTAAATCCTAAATAACCTATATTATTTTCGTGATTCCCAAACAAACCATCGAGAAAAGGAATAAAATTTATTTCAAGCATGCAAACATGCAATAAAAAATAGGAAAGCAAGTCAAATCAAGATAATAAGAAAGGTTGGTGCCACTGAGGACGACAACATATCCAGAAATGAAAAAGACGGTCGGAATTCACATATAGATGCCCGACATCTCATATGTTGTTAATAGGTTCTATAAAAACATGCATTCTCCTGCCACATCCCATTATCATCAATTAATTCATTTGTTATGATATTTACAAGGCCCACAATTCACTATGGCTTGCAAATTCGACAGGGAAATCTAAACCTTAGCACCTTCACCGATGTTGAATAGGCAGGAAATCACACATATAGAAAATCCACCACTGAGATATGCTCATTGTGGGTGATACTCCTGTATCATGGATGGTAAATAAACAATCTATGGTTTTCAGGTTTTCTACGAAGGCAGAGTATCGGACATCAACAATGGCCACGATAGAGGTAATATGGCTGAGATGAATATTTGAGGAATCTGGAATTACACTTACAAAACCTACAACAATTAGGGGTGTAAACGAGCCAAACACGAACACGAGCGAGCCAGACTCAGCTCGTGTTTGACTCGTTTATATTTCGAGCTCAAAAAGTGTGTTCATGTTTGACTCGTTTGCGAGCCGAACATGAGATGAGTCGTTCACGAACAAAGAGTCGTTTTGACAACCCTAATCATGCAGCCATAAGATGTTAATGATATGCGCAAGATTTAAAATATCATTTGAATTTAATTTAATAATTTTTATTCTATTTTTGTCATTAATACCTTTAATTGATTATAAATCTTTGTAGCATTGTATTCAATTAATTTTTTTTTTAAAATACTACTCATCAAAACTCTATATATATAATTGATTAGTGGTATTTCGAGCCAAAACGTGTCGAACTCGAATAAACAAATATTTTGTCGTGTTGTTCGTGTTCGGCTTATTAACTTAGCGAACGAGCCGAACACGAGCTGGTCGGGAGGAAGAGCTGTTCGCGAACAACGAGCCATTTTGACAAACAATACATTGATACATTGTAACAACATTTATGAGATCTCTCTAGCAAACGGCCCAATATTCCATACTTGAACAAAACACATAGAGATATATTATCATTTTATAAGAGACCATATCAATTCTAAACAAATTCAGCTAGATTATGTTCCATCTCAGGACCAGTTATCAGATACATTCACCACGGATCTCTCCAAACTCTGCTTCCATCAGCATCACAACAAGCTTCAGGTTCTCTCGAACACCAGCTTGCAGGAGGGCATCTGTAGTAATTATACTAAGGCTTTCTTTTTATTTTTAAGATTAAAATAGTGATTTTTATATGTGCTGTTAAAGATTTGGCTGGTTCAAAAGCAAAAAGTAAACTTTAGGTATTCTATATATAAATACATAAGAATTGGATGGAATGAATGTAAATATAAAGGACCCTTCAATTTCATAAAAATACTTGTAACTTTACTCAAAACCATAACTTTCTTTCACTTTATTGAGATAGCAAGATAATTTTTTTCGTGCATTTACAGCCTGAGCCCTGACAGCTGAAAACACCATTTCCGTCCACCGGGACCTCTCTGTTCCCCTGGCCTCGCCCTTTCTCTCTCACTATCTCTTTTATGATAATCTCTCTCTCTCTCTCTCTCTCTCTCACACACACATCTCCCCCTTTCAAAGAATCAAGCTAACAAAGTAACGATAAAGTGATTCCCCACACACACAGAAGGAGGGAGGGAGAGAGAGAGCGCGCAGCTGGATCTCTGTACCTCTCCTCCCCCTTCCACTTTCTCACTCCACTTGAGAGAATAAAGGGGGAGAAAAAAAAACCAGCTTTTACAGTTCAATTCATTAAAAGATGTCATCGTCAGATGATCCTTTCCTACTCCACCACCAAAACCTGCTCTATCACGTTCCTCAACAGAGCAGGAGAGAGAAACTCCGCTTCCAGCCCGACAACCCTTGCCTTTCCAACCCCATGGCTCACTTCCCCACCGGAACTGGTTTACTGCAGATCCAGCCGCCGCAAGGCAGCTTCTCTCTGACTCTATCTCCGGCGGCCGCCCTTCTCCCGCTCGGACCGTTCACGGGCTACTCCGCCGTGCTGAACCCAGGTTTTTGACCCCGGCTCGGCAGCTTTTGGAGGAAGTTTGCGAGGTTGCCGCAGCCCCGCGGTTCGCCGGAGATTCACCGGAAGTCATGTCGTTGGATTTTGAGGTGGCGCAGGAAGAGCAACAGTGGAAGAAAGCTCGGCTTTTGTCCTTGATTGATGAGGTTTTTCTCTCTGTTTTATTTTTGTTTGTTTCGTTGAGACTTGATGTTATAACAATGATTATAAATTGATTTAATTGCTTAAACTTTGATTAAGGCATCCTCTTAATTAGTTGAAGATTCTGCTATGTTGATGAAAGCATGAATTAATATATGATTTTTATTTTGTTTTTTAAGGGTTTTGTTGTAGATTGCTCACATTTATATTTAATGTTTTATGAAAATGTTAGATTTAAGAAGGCTTGCTTTTAAATTTATATTTAATTAGAATCTTTATTACTTACTTGAGCATGCTGTATAATGTTCATAGATATGGATTAAAATTGAATGATCATAATGGAAACGTATCTAAATTGTCTTTTTATGTGACAATCATATCATGGATACTTTAATTTCAAATATAATATTTTAACTACACGAAACTTTCATGAGTCCTTCACTAATTGGATAAAGGAGAGTGATTGTAATGAATAAAGGTGGTTTAACATCTCCTGCAACACTCAATTTGAATCGTTGGAGGACAATGATTCATATATCCAACCACTAATATAGATTGAGAAAGTTCATAAAAATTGTTTTTTTTTTTGGGACATTTACATGCATAACACATAATTTTTATGTATTTACATATCTAACTCCTAAACATTCATATGTGCTTGCATGTCATTCAAATCTTTAACATTACATATTGACATTACAACCTTTGTAAAATCAAAATACACATTTTCATGCATAAATTTATGATACCAATGTGTTATAAGTGTGAATATCAAACTTTGGGTGTTAGATATATAATTAAATACAGAAGGATTGTGTGTTATGTATGTTTGTGAAATTCCTTTATTTTTTTGTAATGCAATAAAGTTTTTTTTTTTTTTTTTTTTTTTTTTTTTTTTATTTATAGATTCATTTTCCCTTTTGCCCTTCATTTTATATCTTCTGACCAGGTCTGTAGAAGATACAGGATATATTATCAACAGGTGCAAAATGTTATCACATCATTTGAAATGGTAGCCGGGTTGAGCACTGCTGCCCCATATGTTTCATTGGCTCTCAAGGCCATGTTCAAGCACTTCAGGTGTTTGAAAGATGCAATGTCTAAACAACTTAACCTTAGCCACAGGGATTCAGCGAAGCAAGGCATCGGCCGAACGGAGATTTCTACCATTGGTACGTGTTTACGACAAGATGGGAACAACCTTGATTCCTATAGGCAGCCGCATACGTGGCGACCACAAAGGGGACTCCCCGAGCGTGCAGTGGCTGTACTTCGTGCATGGTTATTCGAACATTTCTTGCACCCGTGAGTTTGATTTTATGGAGGCTTTACCTTTTTCATAGAATGTGTTGTGGCTTATTAGTTTATCATGTTGGATATTTACTTTCATTGCATTTGCTTGTTCTTGAATGTTATACCAGCCTCAACCCTCAAATGGGAGCTTGATCTCATCTTAAATTGGTTACTATCTTTATATATAGCATATAACTAAATTCCTATATATTTACATATTTTACACCTAAACTTCAGTTTTTACATTTTTAAAAGTTATAATAGTGGTAATTTTGATGTGATATGACAGTTTTGTATGGTAGATATGTAAAAAACTAACTTTAGGTTATAGATATGTAAATACATAGGAATTGGGTAGTATGTACATAAATATCTCTTTTTTTCCTTGAGTTCATTTAAGAAGTACAATCTATATGATGCAGGTATCCCACAGATGTAGATAAGCAAATGCTTGCCAAGGAAGCAGGTCTGACAAGAAACCAGGTAAATAGAAGTTACCCTTAAATTTTAGGGAAAGCAACATGCATAACACATAAATCTTATGTATTTGCATATCTAACACCTATATATTTATCACCCTTTAGTGTCATAAACCTGTGCATGAAAAGGTGTATTTCACTTTTAAAAAAGAAGTGGTCTTTTTTTTTATATCTAAGATTTGAGTGTTATGCATGTAAATATGAAAGTTTAAGTTTTAGATATGTAAATACATAAAAAAACTGTGTTATATATGCCAATGCCTCAAAATTTTACTTGAACTAGAATGAGTTAAAGTAATGATTTCATATGTTTAAATACTACTTAAATATATATATATATATAATCCATGGTCCTATCCAGGTCTCTAACTGGTTCATAAACGCAAGAGTTAGGCTATGGAAGCCAATGGTTGAAGAAATACACAACCTTGAAATTAGGCAGCTTCAGAAAACCCTAGACCCTAATGATAAAACCCTAATGGCTGATCAAAAGGAAGCTTCCAAACCCTCTTCATCTATTGCAACTGCCGCAAGTAACCAACCACCTCAAAACAACTGCATCCAAAGGAACCAAAATCCCTATTCCAGATCTCTAAACAATGAACTTTCTTACATTGAAGAACCGTGCAACTACACGTACAATGATTTCGCCTGCCGCGATATCGGACGGAACGCAGGTAGTGTTTCTCTGACGCTCGGCCTTCATCAAGACGGCGGCGGCATTCACTTGCCGGAGCCGCTTCCGTTGAATGTTGCTCGACGATTTGGGCTTGATGATTGCAATGATGCTTATGTTGTTGGTGGATTTGAAGGGCAAGAGAGGGGGTTTGGGAAGGATGTGGGTGGACATCTGCTTCATGATTTTGTTGGTTAATGAAGTTATATGAAGATTGTTAAGATTATTTTAACGTATGAGCTCTGTTGATTAAAGTTATTTGCTTAATTGCATGTATACTACAGCCTATGTTTTATCTGTGATAATTGTTTGTATTGCATGCTGCAGATGCATGCAGAAGTATTGCCAAATTAGTACCACTCAATTCCTCTTCAGCTACATTTCTAACAACTAAGCTGTACTTTTTTATATTTATAGCACTCAAATCTTTCATATGTTATTGTTATCACTTTTTTAATTCTAAAAAATTGAAATGTATATTTTCATTCATATGTGAAATGATTTGCATATAAAAATTGAAGTTTGGATATTAGATATATAAGTACATAGAAATTGTGTGGTATGTATAAAAATCTTCTTTTTTTAATTGCTTTTATTTCTATTTGGGGCATTTATATACATATTACTAAATTATCATATTTTTCCGTATCTAACATCTATACTTTTATATTTACATATATATCACTTAAATTTCTAACATTATATATAAAAAATTATCACCACTTTTAAAAATGAAATGTATTTTTAAGGATAGATTTTATCAAAAAATATTATAAATGTAAATACTATATCATGAATGTTAGATATATAAATACATAAGCGATGTGTGGCATGTATGTACTTGTTTTATCTTCCTATCTATTATGCTGAGTTTTTTGTGGACTTAATGTCTTGGAACTGATAAAATAATGTTATGAGGAGTTGTTGCTTTCTTTTATTGGGAAAGACACATTAAAGAGATATATATACTGCATACATTTAGCATTAATGAAAGAAAACAGTGAGTTATAAAGTAGAATAAGAATAAAACTAGCACAAAGAAGAGAAATTGAAATGAAAAGAATGTAACACGACCAAAAAGCTAACCCCAATAGAAGACACGACTAACAATCCAACTACAGCAAAACATGAACAACCTCTATAACAACAATAGCTACATCCCTTAGACATAAGTAGCACAAATTCATTAGAACAAAGAGTAGCAACAAATCTACATTAACAGAGAACATCAACCTCTATAAGAAGTCCAAAGTGTTGTGAATGTGCAAAAACTCAAAGAAAAGAGCAGCCATTAAGAGAGAAAGAAATAAGAAATAATGCACAAAGAACAAACATAATTAACAAAAGAAACCTCACAATTGAAAACTAATAGGGGTGAAAAAATAATAAAACTAAGCTCAGAAGTTACTTGTAGATTAAAAATTCGTCAATCAGTCAAAAGTTAAAAATTTATAAATATATTCTGAAACTGGTTGAATATTGATAGAGGCTGGTGCTCAATATTAAATCTTAAAAAAAGTGATGATCAAGTAGTAACAAACTACAATGATAAACAATCACTACCGACAACATATAAAGAACAACGACAGAGAGCAACAACTAACAACCAACAAACGCAATCTCAAACAACATCGACAAAAAAACCTAAAAAAAAGAGAATAACAACCAAACTGTCTTAAGAAGGATAAAAATATTGAACCGAAGATCTACAAAAATAAAAACAAAAGGGTTTAGGTTTTAGGGTCTAATTGCGAGGTCTGAATGATGAGAGTACATGTTTATGAACGTTTAAGGGATCTGAGTGTTATAGATGTAGAGTCAATGCATGTTATTTGCAATAGACCCAAAACTCTTGTTCAAATATCTCTCGAGTGATGAGAGTACATGATCCAAGCGTTATAGATGTAGAGTCAATGAATGTTATTCACAATAGATCCAACGCTTTAGTGTTGACTTCAAGCTTCTTTTAGTAACTCTTTTTAATTAATACTTGGATATTAAATTGTTAGTGATATAAATAAAATAATTTTGAATTTATTTTACGAGGCTTCATTATTAATCTTAAAAGGAAAACTAAAACTAAAACTAAAACAAAACCATCCCAAACCATAAGAGAAAAATAAACATAAAGTAAATATATAAGAAGCAACTAGTAGTAACTAAACAAACAAAAGAAAAAAAGAAGAAGATATTATTAAGGATGAGAATTAAATCCATAAAAAATCAATAATATTATTAGGTAAGTCCTTGAATTTTCTATTCCTACTTTTATAAATTATATGAAGGTATTAAATTTTTTTTAAATCCTAGCATTTCTTTGATTAAAAATATAAAATTAGCTCAAAAGAAATTAGAACGAGCGATAACAAAATTTTCATTATGAATACATTTGTTTAGGAGATAATGAGAGAATTGACATTTAAAAAAGAGATAACTATGATTCTCAATTCTATTAGAACAAAGATATTAAGATATTAAGAGAGATATTCAGGTTTGTGGTTAATGCGGTTGGACTTTGATGTGTGTGTGTGTGTGTGTGTGTGGTTGAGTAACATTTTTGAAGGTCGTAAGTCCCCTTAGGCACATGAGGGTGGCTGGGGGCTCGTATAATAGCCTCCGACAATTCTTTATATATATATATATATATATGTATAATTTTTTAGCACTCATAAATAAAAATATAATAGAATCATATTTTTTTATGCGAAAATTTTTATAAGGGAAAAAATACTTGATTTGGCCCAATCAAACCAATACTCATTAAATTAAAAGTATAGAGGTATTCTCTTCTCATCCCCGTTCAAAGAATAGTGGTCAATTTATAATCTTTGAGATATATATTTTTATAAATTTTTGGCCAACTTTCCAAATACTCTACTGGACGGTCTACCTTGATCCTTTAATCGTAGGTCAATATTTAAATATCAAGTGTTTTAAAGACACTAGAATTAAATGATATTGGGCTCCTCTCATCAAGCCGCGTGATTTGACTATAATCATGTAAAAAAATTGAGTTTATTTAACATTCCAATTCATGTTCCAAAAGTTTTGATTATACTTCAAGTGATTAGTTTAGGCTTATTTGGACTTGGATTGAATTTCTTTTAGTGTGATTGGACTCGTATTATTAAGATAATCAATTTAACTGTAAATTAGTTGAAATCAGATCTTAGATGATCCTAAATTTGAGTTCAGAATAACCCCTACCCAAAATGCATCGAGATTCATGCCTGATCATATTAATTTCTTGGTTATATATCAATAATAAATTTAAGAGAATTCATCGTGACTTTGTGTTGGGGTTCCCCAACCCTATAATCTATGCAAAAGAGCTCAAATTTTCATAATTAAGTGATCTTCCAATATTGTTATTATGACACTAGCTAAATTTTCATTATTTGGTTGTGCAAACATCGCAAGTAGCTTTTATTTACTAATGTATGACTTCTACTTTGTTAAGGAATTATGTTAACCTCTTTTTTATAAAAGTGATTAGTATATAAAATCTGGTTTTGGTTTGTAAATATACTCCTTCTATCCCTTTGAGCGTATGTGATTTAAAGGAATTGGTGAACGTAAATTCATTTTGCTTAATAAATTTATGTTTAGTGCTAGATTTTATCCTAATTCACAACTAATTAGATTTATATGCATTTTTTAATTGCTGCTTCTTAAATAACTATCCTCAGCATATTCAACACTCTCAATACCTACAATGACACCAATTACCTCACACACAAAGCAGGACCATTACTCGGGGTCCTAACCAAGTCTATTGTAATATCCACTTTGTTTACTACAAGCTTTATATATATATATATATATAAGGTTTCTAAGGTTGCTTGCAAGATAAGATTGTCACGCGATCAAAATAAGATCAACATAATGGCTACTTAGTCACCATCAATCATACCTGCACAGCTTGACAACCAGTTGATCAAAACCTTATTGCCATATTGTCTCCCACTATATCTCCTATACTACTCGACATTCTCAACCAAGACACATGTGCTAACATTTGACATACTTATTAGTTGTCGTCTCCAATCCAACAACCATTCACGCATTCTCCAACTAAAAAATAAACTATATCACCTCTCTATGAAAGCAAGACATTGACCCAATACCTTGCTAAAATAAAAATTAAAGTGGATACCATTGCAACTATCATTAAACCACTCAACTTTGAAGACATAATCTTGTAAACATTTAATGACTACCCTTAAACTACAACACCTTCAAAACAATAATTTGAACAAATCTTGAGCTCCTTAGTCTTGATGATTTATACATGCTAATTTGCTTAGAAGAGGTTAAACTAGCCACTAAAATCTCTCACAGGCACAATTCTCAAATCTCATCTACACCAAGGAAAAGCCAAGGCATACCATCACCAGAAAGTCTAAATCATTCAGTTCAAACAAATTCAATCATTCAATTGCTCATCAATCAACCAATCTAAAAATAAATACACCAAAAATATAGTGCCAAATATGTAACAAGTTTAGTCACTTAGTAGCCTAGTGTAGGCACCAGACCAACCTCCAATACAAACCAAATCCCACCTTGCTTGCGGACTCCTTCGTCAGCAGTTGGTTTTTTTATTCAAGAGCCTTCTTACATCTTACTCCAAACATTCAAAGCACACATATGTCTTGTAAACATTGTCCGATCCATAATCCCGTAATCACTTACAACATATCACATTGGCAAAGGACAACAACTTCCAATAGCTCACATTGACAAGGGGATTGTATCAATACCATCCAATATGCTCATCCTCTTTCTAATTCTATGTCCTCAATTTATCCCATAATCTCATCTCCATTCATACATTAGAAGCTAATAATCATTGCTCCATCACCTTTAGTATGTCTGCATATTCCTATAAGGACCAAACAACTAACAAGACACTCCTCTCGCCACAGGATTTATGTCGATTAGCATTAGACAAATCTGATGTTAATCAAGGGAAAATATGACGCTCATCGAGATTAGCATCAAATTTGCATCGAAAATAATTTACCGTAAGAACTGTGGCCGGTAAACGTATTAGTGCCAATTTTTGCATTGAATATTTTTTTTTACTTAGAATTTAATGTCTGTAATTATCATCTTTATCAAGTTTCGCAAATAATTACCACTATTTTTTGCGTCTAACATAGGTGGACGCAAATTTTTGTTAACTGTTTCTAACACAAATTTACATCGGCATATTGTCGTCAACTATCGTTTCATGTCGTTCCAGTAACTACGCGTTTGGGTCCGACTCTCCGACACTATTCTGACGCAAATCTGTGAGAAACAAAAAAAAATACAAATTAACGATTAGATTTTCACATACCTACATATAACAAATACGAATAACATAATTACTCACTTATCCATCTTCACAACTGAAAAAACTTCTTCACCAA